AACCTCAAAACACACATTATATATTAATTAAGGAAACAGATGTTAATACTTTAATGAAAAGGCAACAATATGAAATTTAGGAAAGTGATGAGAAGCTGTACAGGCTGATAAAGCAACATAATCCTTTCGGATTTCCCTTTTAGGTCAAAAATGTTCTCTTCTATACTTTTTGTTTGATTAAAGAGTTAACACTGTGAGAATAAAATACACCTTCTCTGACTTACAGTGTCATCTATGAAATTTGTAAGAAGAAAAAGGGAACTTAACTTTTCTTCAGTGATCTATCTCATCTTAGTGGGGTAAACCATTTAATTTTCCTTCCTTCCAGCATGACTTAGAAATAAATTCTTCTTAAAGGGATTTTATTAATGCAACATGGGAAACTGTGCTTTTTAAAGATTTTATCACAAGCATAGAAAAAAAATAACATGAAAAGAGATTTATAGGAAGATTCTACCCTGAGAATTATCAAGAGGCTTCACTGAAATAGTATATAATCACCCATTCCTCTTCAGTGTTGAGAACATTATCACATCACAGAAATAACTTACTTCTATTCATTTGTTTATTGGACACAGGGTGTCACTACATAGTTCAGACTCGCTGTGATCCTCCTGTCTCATGTGCCACCATGCCCAGTTTTGGGGCCAGCACAGTATGTTGTACCAGGGATCAAATCTAGGTCCTTGAGCTTGCCGGGCAGGCCTTTAGACTGCTGAGATATCTCCCCAACCCCAAGAAAGAACTTTAGATGTTGGTCCCAAATTTTCACATTTTACATACTCAGAACTAAGACTAGTTTGAACCAGAAGCTCAGGACTGAGGAAACTTTGATGCCAAGACTGGTTTTTTTTTTTTTTTTTTTTTTGGTGTTTTTTTTTTTTTTTTTTTTTTTTTGGTGCGGAACCAGGGATTGAACTCAGGTCCTTGTGCTTCCCAGGGAAGCACTTATTCCACTGAGCCATCTCCCTGGCCCAAGACTGGTATTTTTAATAAGGAGTTCTGACATTTGCAATGAAAAATGGTGGGCTGGTGAGATAGCTCAGTGAACTAAGTGCCTGTTTTGGCAAGTGCAGAGAATAGGGTTTGATCTCCAGTCCTGCATGCCATGCCAGCCCTGTCCTGGGGTGTGCTGAGCTGGCCACTGAGTCTGAGGGTGGTAGCACACGCCTGTAATCTCAGCGCTGTGGAGGCTAAAAATAGGAGGAGCACTGTAAGTCTGAGTTGCGTAGTGAGACCCTGTACCAAATACATAAATTTAAAAAAAAAAAAAAAAAAAAAGGAAAAAACGGTATTCAAAACACAACTTCAAAGTATAGGTGTTATTCCAAGATCTACTAAATAAAAATAATTTCATTATCACATCCAGACCAGGAGCCACATAAGGACTACTTTCTCTACAACCATGAAAAGGCTATGAAACAAAGCTAAGAATTGAAAGGACAGATACTTACATGCTTGCGTTCTGTAGCCTTCAGAGACTTGGCAGCATAATAAAAAAGTTGTGTTCCACACAAGGCTGCCCAATATTTTGTCCAAGATGCTACCTGGAGAGCACAGATGTGAATATACTGTTAAAATTTTGCTGGCTTCTTAGTTTCTTTACTTTCTGAGTGTCACTCTTCACTTCAATCATCAACGTCTTAATCTCAGAGTCAAGTTGTAGCACTTCTGAAATCTTTAACTCAAACATCTCTATCACTTTTAGCTAATGCACTACTACACTTGTTCAGATAATTCTTGATCTTAAGAATTCTTCATTTTTAAGTATTATCTACTACTGTGGTCACCTCCTTTGTCCCCTCCCTTTCCCTCAGATCTGGCACTGGTCTAGCACTGCATCCACTCCCTTCTAAAAAAAGGGCCCTCTTCCCTGATAAAACTCTAACCCCTAGTCAAATCTAATTCTCTATCTGGTACCATATCACAGTAGTTGACTACCGCTGGAGAAAGCACACAATTATTTCTACTGATAAAAGTACAATTACCAATCTCAAACTGGTATATTTTCCTTTCATATCATAATTGCTGGAGAAATTCTGGTGAGCATAACCTCATTTTCCCAGCACTGACTCCAGCTGCTTGCAGATCTACATGCCTGTCTTCTTATGAGGACTAGATAAATCCTGATTCTATCTAGATTTTCCTATTTTGTTAATTTGCTTCTGTTATAAACACCTCTCTCCACTGCATCTCAATTTCTCTCCCTCTACCATCATTACACAAATGAGCCTTAGTAATGCTCTTTTCTCAACAGCCCCTAAACCCTGTTCTCATTTTTCTGCTCCTTTCAAAGTACAATTTCTTTTATTTAAATGTATTTGGCCCAGGGTCTCACTATACAGCTCTGACTTGTAGTGACCCTTCTGTTTCAGCCTCCCCGCTGCTGGGATTACAGGTGTGCGCCACCACACCCTGTCTCAGTGGCCCGCCTGGCATACCCGGAGCAGGGCCGGCACAGCATGTGGTCCCTGTGTCAAAGCACAACCCCTTGCAAGTTTGTCTCCAATTCCTGCCTCTACTTTTATTTTGTCCATTTTCTACTGACCTTGCTAATTTGACTTTCAGGCTGAAATAGCTTGTGTCTAGGTCACTGGCCACTGATGTCTTACCAGAGCATAAATCTCTGTCACAGGCAAAGTCTATGTAACACAGCTGAACGCTCTTTCCTGAGGGAAGTACTGCAGCTCTAGGCATCTAGGACATCACTGTTTTCCTTGGCACTCCCACTGTGGACTTTTGATGCTACAGAGGTTTTCTCCGGCTTTTTCCTTCCCCAGCGATACCTTCTTCGTCATCTTTCACATCCATTTCAGTACTTCACTTTTTGTACGCCCAAATCACCACCTCTGACCCACATCTCTCTAGTGAACCAGGAACTGTACTTTTTCAAGAGCAAAGCTTTTTGACAGCTGTACTCAAATATTAAGTATGTCAAACTGAACTTAGTCAAAAATTACTTGTATAACCATTTCAAAAAATGTTGCAAACAACCTCCAAGTCCAGTCCCCAAATCCAGAAGTTATCTTCATTTCCAGTCTCTCTTATATATCACAAGTATTATATCATCAGCACTATACTCTTTTGACTTTATCTCCTCCACTTTCAATGCTTCAACTACACAAGGCACAAAACTCCTTGTCTCTTGTACTCAATCTTCAAAAGGCCAAGTCACTTTCTTCATAGATCTTAGCTCAAGTACCTTTAAGTCAAACGCTCATTGTGCTTCCCATAACCCATTGTAAAAGGTTTACTCTGTGTTTTTCTTCACTAGAAAGTAATCTCCATGAGGCAGACGCTTGGTCTTGTCTCACTTACTGCTCTATTTAACATCAGCCATACAATATTCACAGTAATGCAACAGATACAGCACTTTGAGTTCATGGGATAGTCCAGTGTGGCTTCTGGATTGTATGAGCCTTTCATTTACTATAAGCAGCATAAGATTACTTAGATGAAAATCACCTTAAAAAAAAAAAAAATATATATATATATATATATATATATATCTCCCCCACCCCCCGGAACTGGGGATTGAACTAAGGCCCCTGCGCTTGCCAGAGAAGCACTTATTCTACTGAGCCATCTCCCTGGACCTTCACCTTAATATTTTATAAAGCCCTCATATTTTCAAAGCTTTAAGTGTGGTTATATATCAAAGGTTTCATATATTTTTGCTCCACTTACCCTTCTTCCCCCACAATAAAGTTGCTGTCTGGAGAATATTTAATACATATGTATTTTTTTAAACAGGAAAACAAAATTACATTATAGGAATTTAAATAAACTGAAACAAATTTCATTGAATTCCAGCTTTTAAGTTGTTGCTCTCTATTTTTCCTAAACATATTACTACAATACTTAGCCATATACTTCGCACAAGAAGCAATTTTGCACAAGAATTATATTAGAGGATAAAAGGATGTACAGTACAGGAGTATCCTGACTTTAAGCAACTGTGCCTAGCATGTGATTCAGCTGACACTTATGATATAAAGTGTCATAAGTGACACTTTTATCTAGCTGATATAAAGCTTTAAATTAAATATGTGGAGGAAAATGGGTATTTAAAATTACTTCAAGTGAATAATATATCTGATTCTTTTCAATTGTTTACTACATGTGGTTTTTTTTTTTTAGAAGTGTGTTTAAAAATAATTAAATCTTACTGTTGGTTTTTTGCCTTCTTTTAACAAAGTTTTCCTCCTGAGAACACCTTGAATAGTAACAGCTCCTGGATATAAATGTACAGCCAAATCTTCTGACTCTGCAGAACTATAACAATGGAATGAAGAAAAAGTAAGAGCTTTTGTCTATTGTAATGATTAGATATTTAAATAAAATGTAATTATTAATTTAAAAACTTTGCTACTTTACTCACAGCTAAGAAGACACTATTAATTTTAAAGATTTACTAAAATTTATAAGCTGTCACAAAAGTTAATTACAAAGTTATTAAAGTCAGCAGATGGTTAAAACACACAGTTCTATATTTGAATAAGTATAATTTAGAAAGAATGCAAGAATTCACAAAATACAGGTTAACACAAAAAATTATAAAGAGTTTTCCCTTCTTCTTAACATGCCATGTAGCATCACTGTTGCAACTTTATTTTCCCCATAGAAAATTTAAGTCCTGGTAGGAGAGATGAGGATTCTTTCTATTAAAAGCATTTAAGTAAATAAAACTGAAAATGAAAATAGCAGAAGCTCACAAAGGCATAAGGAGAAAACTCATGCTTAATTGAATTCTAAAATAAGTGAAAAAAAAATGTAATAATGTTTTTTAAAAACTTTTTTTTTGGTAATAAATTTTAATGACTTTCAAATGCGACCATGGCATAAGTGTTTGCTTATGTCTAACAGCTCTCCAAGAAAGGAATAACCTCTGACAGACTTTCTTTTTGCTGTATATATCTTTAAAAACCATCATAAAATAACAACACACTTTAATATCTTTCCACAACTGATTTGATATACTATATCCTATACTTCAAAACAAGAAAAATTTTTACATGAATCAATTAAAACACTAATAAAAATGGCATTCTTTGGTGATTTTATATGAGATATAGCATTCCTACAACAGCAAAGAAAACAAGTTTTCCAGTTTATTCCTTTTTGGTTATTTAGGTGTCTTCAGAGTGACTTAACCTAAAAATAAGAAATTTTATGGTAGAGCTATTTATAATCAGGGAAGTATATATTAAATTAGACACCATCAAGTAGACATAAAGTTGGCTATTTACTGCATTTGAATTGATTTCCCATTATCACTAAATCTCATATTTCCAATTAATGTACTATCCTTCTTCCATAGTTAACATACTGCAGAAAAAGACTCATGACATGTTGAAGTATACAAATATTATTTAATCAAGTAGACTTGCCTAGATTCAAGATCTGTGGCATATTGGAAAAGAATTCTTAAAAAGGACAAATGTAAACTCATTAGCAAAATGCTCTGATTGTAGTTTAAGAATTAGAATTTTATATTGCTATACAATAATTAGCAGTGTTAGACTTGTGCAGTTAAAAGGCTACCAACCTGGAAGCGTTTAAAGAAACTGATAAAGATAAAAAAAACTTAGCAATTAGCTAGCTCTGAGATTAGGAAGAATAGTTTCAATTTATCCCTATATTACATCATGGAAGAAAATTATCCATGGGCAATTTGTTTTTAAGACCAATTAGCTGAGATAGAGTAGAAATGTCAGACCACACCCATATAAGCCAATCACCAACACCAGAGGGAAGTTCTGTGACCCCTGAATACAGGGGAATTGTACCTGCTGGCCTTCACGTGGCTTCGATAGCCATTTCGTGCCATTCTTGTCACTGGGCCCAGAGAATGGTATAATCTGTTCCTGTTGGATTCCATTATAAATTGTATATATTACATACACTTTTATTCACACAATTATCACCAATACCAAGAACACTACAAGAGAGCATCGTTGTGTAACACTGCTTTCTAAATCTTACAAAAGGACAATATGTGATTGCCCTTTTTAAAGCGCGCAGTACGTTTTAAAAAATATTTATAGGTATTTAATACATATTATACATTTATTCATACACACTTATTTTCATCCACCCACCAGAAGAACTAAAAAGGTATTTTTTTTAGCCAAATTATATAAAATCTTGAAAAATGCTTTAGAAAGCCTTGTTCGTATTCTACTTTCTGCATTTGATTTTAAATTTGATGCCTGGATTTACAGAAATAATTCATTTTTATTTTATGTCCCTATGAAGACACCTAAAAGTCATGTGGTTTGTAACTTTAAAGCTAAGGAAAACATTTTTATAGTAAGTCAAAGAAAATAAAGGAGACAAACTGTGTAATTAAATATGGGCACTATTTTATTTCTAAGTCAACTGATAGTCAACAAAGGATACTGTGCAAGTTGATATTTACACAAAATGATACATCAGATTTAACAGGAAAGATGGAGAAACAATGAAGCTTCATTGTGTGAGAAAAGCAAAAATAGCAGTGCTGATGAACAATACTTAAGCATTACTGTAACAACTTAAGCCACAATATATTTGATGTCTCTCTAGAAAATAATACAAAATGGTGTGCTAAAATTCAGAGTACTACCTTCAAGTTTGTAATTCACAGTCAGTGAGGTGTTTTAAATTTTTTTTTTTTTTTGGTACTGGGAATCAAATTCAAGACCTTGTGGCACTTGCGCCACTGAGCTATTACCAGGGAAATATTTTAAATCCTATTCTACACTTACTTTTTATTATTTCATGTCTGAATCTTGCTGGAAAACCCATGTTTAACCGTTTTTAAATGTTTTAAGAGCCACTGATTTGCCAAATGTGGTGGCACACACCTCTAATCCCAGTACTATCGAGGCTGGATCAATGTGAGGCTGGATCAATGTAAGTTTGAGGATAGCCTGGGCTACATAATGAGTTCAAGGCCAGTATAAACTATGTAGGAAGACATTGTCTCTAAAAACAAAAACAAAACAAAACAAAAAAGGAGTCACTGATTTTAACTTGGCACGATTAGACTTTTCCCCCTTAGCTGCAAAGCAAAATACCTGTCATAAAAGAAAAACATTGTTTTGAGATGTGAAAGCAATGTCAATAAATACTGTCTTGATAAGAAACCTGCTGGGATAAAAACAGATTAACACAATACCAATTTGGGTTACTCACTTATAACTTAAGCAGTGGAAAAAACAATTTTGCTAATCAGTAGTTATTATCTAAAAGTTATAATGAATTCTATAATCAATAGCTGATGGTATCATACTCCTTCTAGAAAGAAAGATAATATGCACAAATTCAGAGAACATATAATTGTCCATTCTTGTGGTTTTTCGACTTTAGGCAAACAGAAATTAAGAAAATAGACTGGAAGAAAGGCAATTATGTACAAATAAATTTTAAAGAATCCTACAAATGAGATCAAAGCTTGGAACACCAATAGCATACAAAGGACCAAAAAATACTGTACTTTAAAAACACAGGGCTTGTATGTAAAATCTTAATCATATACTGGTGAGGAATCAGGAATAAGGATCCAATTTTCCAATTAACCAGCTTAAAGTTAATTAAAATATATAATGTAATTGTAAGTTGTTTTCTATTGAAAAGTGACTTAACAACTCGGGACTACATTGGTTCCTATTGGTCTTCTTTGGTTCCATATGAACTTGAGGATTATTTTTTTTTAGTTTTGGCAAGAATGTTGTTGGTATTTCAATAGAGAGTGCATTAAATTTATAGATCACTTTGGTAATATTGCTATGCTTACTATATTAGTTCTTCCAATCCAAGAACAAGGAATATCTATCTATCTATCTATATTTTTTTTTTGTGGAACCGGGGATTGAACTCAGGCCCTTGTGCTTGCCAGGCAAGCACTTATTCTACTGAGCTATCTCCCTGGCCCCTACATTTTCTAACGTCTTCAATTTTTTTCTTCAGAGTTCAAAAATTTTCCTTATAGAAGTTTGTCACCTCTTTGGTCAGGTTGATTTTAGCTATTGTGAATGGAACTGTTTTCCTGATTTCTTTCTCAGTGGGTTCATTATTGATATACAAGAACACTATTGGTTTTGAATGTTGATTTTGTAACCTGTCCATTAGGATTCTCATGTTACCTCTGATCACTTCAGTAACACTGTTCTTAGACTAAGGACATTTGATTCTTGACCAAAGTAATTGTTCTGGGCACCTGCCCAGTATCTCAGTTGTTTAAGTGCCTGCTTAAACAAAGCCCTCAAGCTCAAGCTTCTGGGGTTCCAACCCAGACCGTCACTGCAAACCAGAAATGCCCTAAAGGCAGTTCAAGCCTCCAAAAAAAAAAAAAAACAAAACAAAAAACCCTTCTACAAAGTAATTGTTCCATTTTGTACATAAACTAATTAGCTAAAAAGAAGAAAGAATCCTAATGAACATTTAATATAAACCACTTGAATTGTTTGGCCACGTTCTTAGACCTTGAGGTGAATATCAATATAGCATTATTTACTCCACACAAATGCAGTCTTTCTTATAGACAACAAAATTTTATTAATATTATTTTAAAATTTTGGGCTGGCAAAATAGCTCAGTGGACTAAGTGTCTGGTTAGGCAAGTGCAGGAACTGGGGTTCAATCCTAGGCGCCACATGCGGTGCCAGCCCCACTGAGCCAGCCACCAAGTCCAGGCGTGGTGACACACGCCTGTAATTCTAGCACTAGGGATGCTAAAAACAGGAGAATCACCATGAGTCTGACCTGTGTAGTGAGACCCTGCACCAAATATATATATATTTTTTAAATTAAGTTGCAATGTTAAATATACTTGAAATTTAAATACATGTGTAAAAATACCCAATAAATATACATATCTATAAGGTTACCAAAAATTCATCATTCTTACTACATAAATTCCAAATTGAAATATGAACAACTTAATTCTTCTACCAGAAGGAAACTTACATAGTCTGAGATAGAAAAAAAAAATTCACTTCAAATTCATATTACATAATTTCATACAGATAAAATACACTCAAAGCTATTCAAATGGTCAATTTCTCTTACCTTTCAAAAGCAGGCCATGAAGTCTCTTCACTTAGTTCAGAACCATCACTACTACCTAAAACCAAAAGATACTTTATTTAAATACCACAATTATTTGTCTGGTTTGGATGCTATATTTTAAAAAATCTACAGTATACATAAAGAGCAAAATGAAAGGTATCTAGTAAGAAACAGGGACATAAATGTTTTTCAAATGGGAAGAAGACCTAAAGTGGAAATCAAAAGAAGATGTGCCATGTACGTGTTCTCACTCCCTAAATGATGTCACCATTTGTGTACTGCAAACATATACTAATAAAGCTTTCAAACATTTAAGAAATGAAAATAAAGCTGGGGAGATAGCTCAGCGGTCTAAGTGCTTGCCTGGCAATCACAGGGACCCGGGTTTGATCCCTGGTACTGCTTGCCAGGCAAGCCCGGAACCCCAGGAGCACCATGTGGGCCACTGAAGCAGGCCTAGTGGTGCATGCCTATAATCCCAGCGCTGGGGAGGCTGAGACAGGCGGATCACTATGATTCCGAGCTGTGGAGCAAGACCCTGTACCAAACAAATACATAAAAGAAAGATTAAAAAAAAAATTTTCTCTGTGCTCATAAAATGACAATTACACTGTTGGCAAACATCCATATATTGTTTTTATTCTAATATCACTCCTGCTATGTTTTGCAATGTATTGGAATACCACTAATAAAGCTACCTAAAACAACAAAGCAGAGTAAGACATTTTTGCATGACTACTTATAGCTAAAAATACACTGCTAAACAACCATCACAAAATGTATAGAACACAATTTTTTCTCATGAAATTTGTCACAATATCTATATAATTATGAAATCCTATGACATTGTGGTGTACTTTTTTGCACTGAAACCTGTACTACTCAAATTAATTTCTTGCCTTTAGAAACAAGGTTGAAGAAAACATTTTCAAATTGAATTGTCCATCAGCTTTTTAGGCTCCAGGAGAAGTGAGGTGGCACATGACTGTAATCACAGCACTTGGGAGGCTGAGGCAGGAGGATCCTTGTGAGTTTGAGACCAGCCTGGGCTACAAAGGCCAGCCTGAACTACATGGTGAGAAACTGTTTCAAAAAGACAGACCAAAAAAAAAAAAAAAAGAGGTTGCAAGAGAGATTCTAACTCTAACACAATAAGGGAACAATTACATGATTATATTTCTTTTATGTATTTCACATGGCAGTTATGTACAGCCCTGGATGAACTGGGGCAACGGTCATTAAGCAAATTTTTGTATTTCTTGGTTTAGATGAGGAGCCAGAGGTGACCTGATGGTAATGGAATCTGGTAGATGATAACAGTTGGTGGTATCAGTGACGAAACCCATGGAACTCTGACTTTATCTCCAGACATTTCTTAAATAATTTTTTTTTTTTTTTTGTCAGGACTCTGGTAAATTGCCCAGGCTACTAAGCATGGTGGCACACACCCGTTATCCCCGTACCAGGAAGGCTGAGGCAGGAGGAATGCTGCGAGCTTGGGCCTATTCTAGGTTACATAGTGCAACCCTTTCTTCAAACCAATACCAGCCTGGCCTTCAACTTGGAATCTTCCTGCCTCTGCCCAAATAACAGGAATTAAAAGTCACCATACTATAGGGCTTTGTAGATTATGTTTTGATTTGAAGCATTATGTGGTAAAGACTGAAAATTTAAGCAAATTAGTCTGATTTACTTGTAGGAAATATAAACCTTTCCAGAAGTATCAATCTCACATGGGTCAGTTTAGAAACATATATTTCACATTAGAAATGTTTGAGGCTATTACCATACCACTTACAAATTTTTACATAGTACTTTCTCAAAGTCTTTGTAGTACAGATAAGTATTTCATGTTATGGTTTATGGCTAAGAAAAAAATCTTTGTGTGCAGTAAGAACAACATAAGGTATTATTTTCTCATGTTAAAACAGAAACAAAAACTGGAAGGAAAATGCCTATGTGTAATGTCTTTGATGTTCAAAGATAAATATTTTACTGTTTACCCACTTAACAGCCTTACAGTTACTAAAAACACATACATGAAGCCACAAAATCCACTCAGAACCACAACAGCTTCTACACTGAGGCTTTCAGCATAATTTTCTTTTCTTTTCCAAAGTTTTACTGATAAACAGATAGCAATG